CACACTGACACATAAATATATATATATTTATGTGTCAGTGTGGCTGATAGGGTCTATGTCCCCCAGGGTACTGCCGGAACGTACCCTGGGTACGGTCCGGTATACCGGAACGTACCCTGGTAACTATCTAGCTGATATGGTTAGGGCTAGGGTTAAGGTTAGGATTAAGGTTAGAGTTTTGGGTTAGGGTTAGGGATTAGGTGTAGGCGACTCCCTAGACTCGTTAGTGGAGTAGGCGAGGTACGGTCCGGCATATTAGATAGTAGTATTTAGTACCAGGGTACGTTGCGGTATATACCGGACCGTACCCAGGGTACGTTCCGGCAGTACCCTGGGGGACATAGACCCTATCAGCCACACTGACACATAAATATATATATATTTATGTGTCAGTGTGCAGCGGCAGCAGCAATGGCAGCAGCCAGTGTTTGTTGTAGATGAGCATTTGGACGGATTTACAGGAAATTGTCGGCAATATTAGGTGAAAGAGAGTATAGAAACATTAAGACTTTGGTAGTAAATAGATTTCGTATTTATTTAGCATTATATTTTATTGAAACGCTCCAAGTGCCTGTGCTACATAACATAGTCATACAATTTACGTAGGTCCAGGGGCGTGTACGGGGGGTGGGGGGTCCAGGGGGTCCGAACCCCCCTGCTCGTGCAGAAAACGCATCTAAGGGGGTCTAATTTCAAAAATTTTCTGGGGGAGAGCTCACCAGACCCCTTCGCGTTGCTCGCAAGTATGGGTAACGGTTAGACCCCCTTTGGTACAAATCTTGTACACGCCCCTGAGGTCTATTGGCTATCGTATCTACAGTACAGACTGCATGCGAAGTACAGCTACAGCGTATTCAGTTTACGAGAAGTGGTACAGTTAGTAAACACATTATGTAACGTTATGTAACTTTGGTATAACCTATGTGGCGAGTGTTGTATAAATACTTACCAGTCTCTGCGTGCTTCTATGTAATTTATAGGGCTCAAGGATAGAGAGCATGTTCAGTAATAAACATCATCCTATCCTATCACCGTCCTGGACATCCATATAGAGTATTAATCTATTATACAGAATACTGTACTGTAGTATCGAAATCGAACTCATCACTCAAGTTGACAAGGTTGAGTTAGTTTATGCACGACATGATCGAGTCTATAATATATTATATGGTAGGTTATAGATGTAAGCTAGTGTGGATATTATTATACACTAGCTTTTGATATAGATACAAATATATTTATACCCGTATGTTCCATTGGGCTACACATGTATGTACTTGTATGTGTTTATACAAGTAGCTGCTAATGATGAAGATAGATGTATATATGGGTGGTTTAACCCTACTCTGTTGGGTTACATTATTGTATCTAGGTTAATTAGGCAACTAATTAGGCAGTAGTTAAACTCGCGTCATGTATGCCTAGTGAAATAATTGTGAATTCGAACCAGCACACTTTATACATTCTCCTCCGTGTGTCGGATGTAACAGGACCTTTCTGCAAACAAGTCATTACAGGATATTTATGATATATATATATAGTATGTAGTAAAATTATCAACAGTCAACACATATAGCTGGACAGTTGGGGCATCTCTTACTAATAAAAGCAATACCGGTTGTACATATTTCAGGCCAGGCAAGTTTTATTGGCTGTTTTCAAGATAGGGCGGATGATCGGGACCTTTCCTATGCCGCGTTTACTGATCTGACGCAGATGACTGTGTACAAATGCGTGAAAGCGTGCGCGGATTATGGATCTAAGTACGCAGGGCTTCAGGCAGGGGTTAACTGCTTCTGTGGTAACACATTTGGAAGGTAAGTGCTGGTTCTCTTATTTGTTTTATCCTTTATTATATTTGGTGGGGTGGGCAAGAAGCCGGGGTGGGGGGGCACTCGCCTCGGAACTGGGTAGAGGGGTGCCTCCGGGACCTTGAAAACCTGACCCTGTCACAAACCGCTTTGTGTCTTAAAATACACCCTGTCCCAATATACTGCACTAAAAAGTATACCCTGTTGCAATATTGCACATTTCGGTTATGCCCTGTCCTGTCAATATCTGCCTATATTGGTCCAATATCAGCTTGATGGGTGTGTATCTAGATAACCCTGTGCCAATAATGATGCTCAGAAAATATACCCTGTGCCAATAATGATGTTCGGAAAATATACCCTGTGCCAATAATGATGTTCGGAAAATATACCCTGTCCAGCGGCACGCCCCCAGTACCTTTAACAATGGGAGTGCTCCACCCCGGGGGCAAGAAGCCAAGACAAGAATGGAATGTGAGAGAAAGATGGAGAGGGGAGAGAAAAAGAGAGAGGAAATGTAGTGGGAGAGACTGTTAGGGGGGGATAGGAGCATGAAGGGAAAGAGTGAGTGAGAGAGAAGGCAAGAGGGATATGGGCAGAGATGCAGAGAGAGAGCGAGAGAGCGAGAGAGCGAGAGAGAGAGAGAGAGAGAGAGAGAGAGAGAGAGAGAGAGAGAGAGAGAGAGAGAGAGAGAGAGAGAGAGAGAGAGAGAGAGAGAGAGAGAGAGAGAGAGAGAGAGTAGAGAGAGAGAGGGAGAGAGAGAGAGAGAGAGCG